TAAATTCCCCTACTATATACGGTGAAAAACTGTATTGGACATTACATGTATTGGACATTAATTTTACGGTGGTATACTGTTTTTGGAAGTGAAAAAGACTGTATAATTTACAGTGAATAACCGTAAATTGACATTCCCAGAATTCCCTGCGTTACATTTCAAATTTGATGTTTTTTTGTTGAAATAACTATGTTTCTTCTTAGTTTTTTCTTATTAGTTTTGTATATTAGGGTTGTGTGTTACACCTAATGTTGTTAAATGAATGTTTATTGCATTATTTCAGTTTCATGTGTGTTACCATGATGGTGTTTAGTGTTTGTATGAATGACACTGTGCACCTTCTATATATGTTATTATTTAAAAGCTGCTTGTGATGGACTTTGGTTCATCATGTGACTTTCTCATCACCGCCTGCATTTGGTGGTTATCAGTTTATTACAAAGGTACAAAACAGATTTCAGTACTTCAATAGATTGGTATATTAACATTATATCAGTTCATGAAATTACGGTATTTAACTGTAAATTTAAGTTAAAACCGTAAAACCTAAAATGTTGCTACCGTATTTTTTTTACGGTAAAATTTCGGCAACCACAGCTGCCGGTTTTTTACCGTACATTTTACGGAATATTTTTTACAGTGAGGGTTTACTAAATTAAAGCTATTACAAATCTAAATAAGCTGAAATAAAATATAAGTATTAGTAAAGAAGTAATTAAATAAAAATAAAATATAAATATTGGATGAAAAACTTAATGTTGCCTTGGTAACTAAATTAAATAAGTTGACGCACTAAAAGTACTGACTAATAAATAAATAAAACTAAAACAAAAAGCCAGGGTTATTATAGTTAACTAAATCTACAATTAAAAGCATAAAAATAAAATGTTTCTTGAAATGAAATAAAAGTTAATTGAAATAAAATCCTATATTAAAAAACATTTTATTTCAGTTAATTGCCAAGGCAACATCATTTTCATTTAAGTTGATGTACTAAAATAACTAAAACTAAAACTGAAAAAAAAAAAAAAATCAGAAATATAGAAATATAATAAAAATGACAAAACACTGCAGAATTACTAAAACAGTAACTAAAATTAAAATGAAAACGGAAAAACTAATTCAAACTGTTAATAAAAACATATAACACTTAAGTAACACTATTAAAAATGATAGTTTAAAATAATCCAGTAATTGAAATTAAGCTGAAATAAAATAAAATCTAAATATTAGATGAAAAGCGTCTATAATACTGATTCTTAGGCACAATGCAGACAGCCCTTGTTTTCTGTGGTAAAATCACTGTAACGCACGGCTTCAACTGGCGTAATGCAATACGCAGTTTAACGTCAATGTTCAATATACATTTGACATATATTTACGTTTAATAATAACAATCAGAATAAACTGTTCTGTTATTCAGTGCATTAGTATAGACTGTGCATCATATAGATGTGTATTCATCAGCATTTTATACCAGCTTTTATAACATTTTATAATTGTGTATAGTAATACACAATGACGTGTGTTGTTTTTTGTGTGTTAACAGAGCCTGAAGACACAAACCCTGAGACAGGTACGCCTCATTTACTACAGGTGTACAGTTCTGGTCACAAAACAACATCAACACAAGACACAAGTGTGCTTTAGCTGATGTTTAAGAACTGATGTGTGTTTCCTCAGACGCTGCGACAAAAGATCAGCCCGCGACAGAAGATGCTGAAGAAACAGCAGCAGGTGATCTGATTCAAACATTTCTCTGAAATAAAGCCATCACACACCACAAACAACACACAAAACCAAGGCACATATACATATACATATACATATATATATTATGTATATTAAAAAAACAGCGATAGAAAACCTCACGTTTTAAAAAGGGCCTGGAAAAGTCATGGTTATTTCTAAAAGATAATGTGTCCCAGTTATTCTCAACCCTAAAATATTTCATAGCCAGAAGCTGCTCTTTCTGAACGCAATCTTTAATAAAAATGATTTTAAAAATCCTTCAAATATCCTGTAACCATGAAGGCCTGGAAAAGGCATAGAAATGCATCAGACGGTGGGCTGGGAAGCCTGTAATAATCATGTGGTTTTGACTATGACGTATTTTCCTCTCTGATGCTGTTCCGCTGAGAGTAACAGACGCAGCGGATCAGACATGCTGGCTTGGCAACTAAACGAGTTTAAGAGGAAACACTAAAGTCACTAACTGGAAATAAAAACTAATGTCACTAACTGGAAATAAAATAAAAGCTGAAACTGTGAACTAAAACTATTAAAAATCATTCAGTAATTGAATAAAAGCTCAAATAAAATATAAACATTGAAAAAACTTAAACTAAACAAAAACTAGAAATGTTGCCTTGGCAACTAACTGAAATAAATTAAATAATAATAAATTAAAGGTGAAGCATTAAAATTACTAACTGAAACTGAACTAAAACGAAAAGTATTTAAAAAAATCATAAAATAAATTATTATATTATATTATATTATATTATATTATATTATATTATATTATATTATATTATATTATATTATATTATATTATATTATATTATATTATATTATATTATATTATATTATATTATATTATATTATATTATATTATATTATATTATATTATATTATATTATATTATATTATATTATATTATATTATATTATATTATATTACTAAACAAAAGCACAACAAAACTAAAACTAAAATGAAAACTGAAAAAATGAAAGTAAAAATACAGATGTAGTTTAAGTTGAAACACTAAAATTACTAACTTGAAATAAAATAAAATCTAAAACTGGGAACTAAAACTATTAAAAATCATTCAGTATTTAAAAAAAAGCTCAAATAAAATAAAATATAAATATTTAAAAACTTAAACTAAACAAAAATGAGAAATGTTGGCTTGGCAACTAACTGAAATAAAGTAAATAATAAATTAAAACTGAAGCATTAAAATTACTAACTGAAACTGAACTAAAACTAAAATTATTAAAAAATAATTTTCATAAATTATACGTTTTATTTTATTTTTTTAATTTTGATTGATTGATTGATTGATTGATTGAAAATCAAACTATCCAAAAACCAGAAATGTTGCTTTGGCAACTAAAAAATTATTTGTTGAAATAAGTTTGTTAAAGAACTAAAGTTACTAACTGGGCAGGAATAAAAAACTATATAAAATTATATAAAATTATAAAAAATATAATAAAAAAATATAAATATAGTCATTGCAGTCATTGAAATAAAGCTGAAATCAAATCAAATATAAATATTAGATAAAAACCTTGTAAAATAACTGAAATAAGTTTAAGCTGAAGCACTGAAATTACTACAAAATTAATAAAAACTAAAATAAAAAAAAAAAATAGAAAATTACAATAGCACAACAAAAATAAAACTGAAATTAAAATGAAAGTAAAAAAACAAACAGATGCAGTGTTTAACAAGCACTTGCTGTGGATGCACAGTCAGACTGGACCTGGAGGACTGATGTTTATGTTATGTTTAAACTTATGTTTAGCTCCATCAGCTGAAGAGGAACCTGCTGGAGAAGAAGCAGAAGCAGGTAGAGATACGAGACGTTTCTCTGATATCTTCACACTTGCGGCAGTCAAACTCTGAGGCATTTTCAAATGACTATTCAGGACATTCTCTTCCCAAACTCATCCTTATTTCACTTTCCTGAGCTCATAATGGGATTTAAACTCATACTGCAGCACTTTCTGTTAAAAGTTAAAAGACTGTAAAAAGCTCTGTTCATCGTGCAATAATTGGCTGAATATGAGTGCTTTTATCTAAAGTGACTTACACTGCATTCAACTGAAATATGAGTTTTGTGATCATTTATATTTGAAACTAACTTCTAAAGCATTTAAAAAAATATTTGTAAGATTTATGTATTTGAATTGCATGTAAAATTTCAACTAATTTGGATTGCACAGCTTTCACATAAACTCTAATGTGAGACATTGTTTTTATTCAACTGAAAGTTTTAAATGCACAATAACAACGTTTACATATTTATCACCACTTTGTTTTAATTTCATATATTTATCTAATTGATTATTGCTGGTTCAGTCATATTTTAACCAGGTTTGAACGTTTTAACTGAATACATGTAATAGTTTTCCCACTGAACAGATTTATGCTGATTCAAAGCCATTTGAATAAATGCATTATTTTGAATGTTATTTAAATCAAATCAAATATATGCAAATAGCTAATAATAAACTATAGCATGGTTTTTGAGTGAGTGTAGAAATCTGATCTGTTTCATTTTTGTATCCGTGCTATTTTAGATACTATTATAGTTTTGTCAATATTTTGAATTAGATTTCATGTTAATTTTAGTTAAAGTTTTAGCCATTTTTATTAATTTTTGTTGTTTTTAAATGTCTATATAGTTTTTATTAATTTTATTTCATTTTTAGTTTTAGTACATCAAGATAAACCAAATAAAAATGAGAAATGTTGCCTTGGAAACCAGCTGAGTTCAAGTTTTATATATTTTACTTCATTTCAGTTAACATTTATTTTATTTAAAATAAGTTTTAAAATGGTTTTAATTTTAGTTTAGCTAACTATAATAACAGTGTCACGCATGACTGACAAATATGCATCGCATCAAGTTTATTAGTTTATGTTAAAACTCCGTAATCCAGATGCATGGAGATTTTATATGCAATTCAAACACATAAATCTTATATTTAGGCCACAATATTTTGTGACTGTGTGCAAAGCTGCATATAACAGCCTGTATTAATGCAAACACATTATATTGATCAGTGTTTGTTCACTGTGGTTCTAGATGAAGCCGATGCAACTAAAATAGGTACGCAGCTCACTTTCCTTTTAGTTTATATATATATATATATACGTATATTAAGCTGTTTTAAGACTATCTGAAGGTTACAGACATTGAATACTTTGACTTTCAGAAGCCGAGTCACCTGTCGGAGATCCTGAACCAGGTGAAACAGAGATTTACTGTCTGCTTTATCTCACAGCTTGATCTTCACCATCATCTATACACTTTGCTTTGCTTTCGTTTCATAGAAACAATAGATTTTTATGAACAGCCTTTTATTGCCACAGTTAAACTATAACAACGTCAACACGTTACTATGGCGTTCTATACATATTGTTATATATCACTCTTAAAAAACAAAAACCCTGATTTTATTAAATATAGACAACATCTTTGACTTCATATGAAAAACTCTTTGATCTTATACTCGTGTTACAGTTCCGTGTGTTTGCTTTAGTAATTTTACGACACATTAAATGACGATCAAACAGGTTCATAGTCCAAACGCAAGACCCATAATTAACGCGAGATCCGTAATTAATGTTGTCAGGGTTGTCAGGGTTTCTTGACTCTCGACCTTTCTACAATACCAAAATGTATATGACTAATTTTTTTGACTGTTCTTTCCAGGAGATATGTAAAAAAACTTTGTTTTGTCAGAAATCACGCCTGAAGAAGCTCCAGATGATGCAGAAGAAGAACCAGCACAAGAGGAAGCAGAAGGAGGTAAAATGTCATAAAGTGTGTGTGTGTGTGTGAGAGTGTGAGAGAGAGTGTGTGTGTGTGTGTGTGTGTGTGTGTGTGTGTGTGTGTGTGTGTGTGTGAGTGTGTGAGTGTGTGTATGTGTGTGTGTGTGTGTGTGAGTGTGTGTGAGGATGCTGGGAATGTTAAAATAGACTCGAGGACTCAATACAGCATGCTCTTTGTCAGATGAATACACATATTCCTCTCAGGTTCTGTGTTACGAAACTTAGTGTGCTGCCTATATAGGGAGGATTTTAAGGCATCATGATTAACATACCTCGCTTTGACCAAATTCTAAAGCAGAATCACATCTATGCTTTGACAAAGTGAATAAATTAATTAAAAAGGTAATTTATTAAACATGCAAATCATTATAAAAATGCAATTTAATAGAATGGACTAATTTACCCAATTTCTGCGTTATCTATTTGTATGCTTATTTTAGTATTGACCCTTTTCACAGACTAATGCCGTGTTTGCACAGTTATTACTATTTTAAATCGAGCGAGGTTTCATATATTTTCATTTCTATCCCTCACGTTGTGTTCCGGTCATTTTGACCCAGAAAAGATTTTCTTTTTCACAGAAAATGTGAGTTCATGTTATTGCATTGGACTAAAACTGACTTTACTCACACAGGGTAGAAAACTTACAAAAAAATAAATAAATAAAAGAAATGGGATAATTTTTATACTTTTTGGGGATTTTTTGTTACACATGTGCTGTTCGTGGTCAAAAATGACTGGCTTTTTAAAAATTGTTTGTAAATCTCTCATTATGACCAAATCTTGGATTCAATCTCTTCATCAGCTTGTTTTCTTTCAATCAGCACAGGTTTTGTGTTTCTTTTAGGAGCTGATTGATCGTAGTCCTCATTGATCTGAGCTCATGCACCTCAGTTAACGAGTGAAAAAAGCATTATTTGTGCATAATTTTGGATCAAAACCCTGTGCTAATCAAAAGAAAACAAGTTAATAAAACCACCGAATGCAGCATACAGCATACTAAGAGATTTACAAGCAATTTTTTAGAAAGGACAGTCACTTATTACTTAAATTATATAAAGCACAGAAATAGTGTTAAAAAAATGTAATTTAGATTTATAAGACTATACTTTGTGTTCTATTACCTTTGCATGAAATTACAGAAAAAAAAAGAACAGCGAATCTGACATCTCTCTCTATTCTGACTCTATTTTGGAAAGTCATAGAAACACTATCTCAGTTTTGTTTTCCTTTTGCTACTGAAGTGCAAAAAATATATTAGTTGTAGTTTCCGTTCATCACTATAGAAGTCTACCCAACTGTGACTGTTTCTGAGAAGAGTGCTTTATGACGTTTTTAACACCGAACTCTATTGAAATCACTCGAGCATCAAATCCTCTTTTTCTGAGTCACTTCCTGTGGAGAAAATAATAAAATCACTGACTTTTAAGGCTTTAAGGTTTAGAAACAGAGCTCAGATCAGCTCCGGTGTCCAGTGAAATGAGTTTGTTTGTTTGTTTGCATGCGTGACGTCTGCAGGGGAAGCAGATGCAGACGCAGATACTGAAGCAGGTGCGTTTCTCTGTAACTGAAACAATATCAAATGTGAACATGGTCAATATAACACTTATTCCAGGAACAACAGAAACGTCTCGGTTACGTATGGTAACCCTCGTTCCCTGAAGGAGGGAACGTAGACGTCACGTCGGATGACCGACGAATTGGGATCTCGCTTAGAGAGACCAATCTACTTTGAGTGTAAACTAAACGAGCCAATGCACATTGGCATGCAATTATTGCATCCAGCTGCTGCTGATCACAGCGTGAGTATAAGTAGGCAGCAGATGCAGCGCATATTCAGGTTTTCGCTGAGGAGCCGAGCCGGTGACCCGGCCGCTCAGCAGTGGTACAGGAGCATACTTGCGAACGCCCCGCGGCCAGCTGTGTGCCACTGCGTCCGTGCCGAGTGTTCCCTCGGCCAGGGAGAAGAACAACTGGCAGTGAGAGGTTTCTGGAGAGGCAAAGCCATCGAGACGGGCTGGGTAGCTCTAGCCAGGCTCCCAGACTCTGCGTAAGTGGCATCAACGGAACTACAGGCGTACCCGCAGTGGGGCTTAGGTCAGGAGCAGAACGATAGAACCGCTTGACTCCGAAGCGAAAAGCTGAATATGCGCTGCATCTGCTGCCTACTTATACTCACGCTGTGATCAGCAGCAGCTGGATGCAATAATCGCATGCCAATGTGCATTGGCTCGTTTAGTTTACACTCGAAGTAGATTGGTCTCTCTAAGCGAGATCCCAATTCGTCGGTCATCCGACGTGACGTCGAGAGTGACCGACTGAAAGGGAATTTAGATCAGCGTTTGCTTTAATCCAGCATGTTTTAGAAAATAAACACTGAAACGAAGAGTGTTCATATTTCACATTATTTACGTTGGGCGAATCTTATGAAACCTGTGGTCACATCATCCTATAATCAAAAGAAAAAAATAGGATATTGTATTTAACATAAAAAAAATTAGGCATGTTCAAATTTTTTATATACTTTTGCTGTATTTATATTTTATGTTTACATTATTTTTGTGAAGCATTAAGCACATTTTCCCCTACTATTTCCTCTTCTAAAAAAAAAAAATTTTTTTTATTTCTTATTTTATTTATTTTGAGGAATTTGTACATTTGTACATTGTTGTTCTGTCATTTATGCTTGTTGATTAAAAAAAAAAATCATTGTATTACAGTAATTAAGAGTCCAATGAGATTCATCATTAAGAAAAATAGGAATTATAATAATTTTGCATTTATATTTTATATTTACATTATTTTTGTGAAGCATTATGCACATTTCCCCTACTATTTCCTCTACTAAAAAAAAAACAAAAAAAAAACAATAATTAAATTATATATTTTATTTATTTTGAGGAATTTGTACATTGTTGTTCTGTCATTTATGTTTGTTGATTTTTTTTTTAAATCCTTGTATTACAGTAATTAGAGTCTAAGAGATTCATCATTAAGAAAAATAGGAATTATAATAATTATTATAATTAAAATCTTGTGAGTACATATTACAGTAATGAGAATTTGAGTTACTAATGAGCTTTGTAGTCATGAAAATAAATATCTATTAAAATGATTTTGTTGTGAAATGTGACTTGTGGCATGTTTTGATGAGATTCACCTTATAGTCTTCCTGGAATATAGTTATTTTGGCCTTGTTTTCTGGACTAAACGTCAGAAATGTTGGTGTTTTTTCTAGACTCGACCACTGTACCAGAGGAACCTGTTGAACCCGCTGTCGCTGTGGAAGGTCTGACGCTGGACTATCTGTCATTTATTAGGCTGCTGTTTTACTGGCCAGCTTTGTGTTTACATGTGCTTCTGTGTTTTCTCCAGATAATTCTGCAGGATTCGATCTTTCTGATGCGCTCGGTAAGAGATCATCACAAAGCTTTAGGGCGTTTGTGTTTGTTTTTGGGTTATTCCACCAGCAGGTGATTTAAATCTGGAATTACTGTCAGTAGATCAATTATGAATTATACTTACATTGTTCAAATTATACTTACAAAAGTTGAAATTTCGGAATTATGGCATAAAATATCATAATTATTAAATAAGACATCTAAACCGTGAATTGAATTGATGTTGTAAAACAAACTTTTTTTGTCGAAAAGTTCAAATTATGAGATTTAAAAAAAATCTAATTAGGAGCTAAAAGTTAAAATTATAACAAAATTCTCTATTATTTAACAGAGACGTCAGCTATTAGTCTTGGGCTTTCAGCTTCTCCACACGTTTATAAAGAACAGATGCACACTACCGCTCAAACCTTTGGAATAATTACGATTATTTAATGTTTTTGAATGAAGTCTCTTCTGCTCATCAAGGCTGCATTTATTTGATAAAAAAACTGAAAATTGTGAAATATTATTATAATTTAAAACAGCTGTTTTCTATGTGAATATGTGTTAAACTGTAATGTATTTCTGTGATGCGCAGCTGTATTTTCAGCATCATTACTCCAGTCTTCAGTGTCACATGATCTTCAGAAATCATTCTAATATGCTGATTTGCTGCTCAAGAAACATTTCTGATTATTATCAATGTTGAAAACAGTTGTGCTGCTTCATAACACTTTTATTCATCAAGGAGGCATTGATCGAAAGTGACAGCTAGGGTTGGGTACCGAACTCGGTACTTTTAAGGGCACCGATCGAATTGCGTCGGTACTACCGAGTACCGATTCACGTTAAATGTGTGAAAATTTCGGTACCTGAGAACGCATCTGGGCGCATACGCTACAGAGAGAGAAAGAGAGACCCTGTGACGTGAGGTCAGCCCTGCAACTCCTTCAAACAACATGCAGGGCAAGCCGAAGTGTTCTGAAGTGTGCTTACATTTCGCAAAATCCATTCATAAAAACGTAATTTACTCTATTGCGCGGAACGCCAAGGAATTCGTCAATTTTGGACGAATAAATCAAAAGTAGCCACTGCCACTTAATTCGAATCACGATATGAACTAGTGTCTGTGAATATTAAAATGCAAAAAGATGGTTTAAATATGAATCCTGCATGTTCCGCTTGCCTCTGTATGTATGAATGCCGGAAACGCGGTTTTGTTTACTACACAAATACCGAAGCACGCGTGACGCTCGCGGTGATTTTCGGCCTCTGCGTCTCACTGGATGACAGCATGAACACAAAAACTTAATCTCCAGAGCTGCTGTGAGAGTCACTTCGTGAGAATTTTACCGTTTCATTTGAGAAAACTAGCATCATCATACTGTATACACACAGAAACTTCATGTCAACCTGTCAAAATAACAGTACGGTTTAACATGTAACAGACATATATTACTCAAAGTAAAATAAGTAATAAGTAATAAATTGTATTTTGTCTTTTGTACAGTATAATGTACATCTTTAAATATTCAATTTTCTATCAAATTGAAATAAAACAATTAAATGATAAAAATAAATATTACAACCAGATTAATCACTTAATTGTAGAAATAAATAATACAATTATTAGCCTATTAAAAATGTTTTAAAGGAATATTCACACAATTTTTCTTCCATGTATTAATTTCAACAGTAAACCTCAGTTTGTTTGCCAAAAAATAAAAGGGTTTAATTTTCAATTGATTTCAAATAAATGTTTAATGCCTTCATTCGATTTTCAGAAAAATTAAAACAAGAATTTCTGGGAAAAAAGAAGAAAAAGTTTGTAGGGCCCTTTTGTTCAAAATGTTGAAATTGAGACTTTTGGACTTCAAAAAACTTTTTTTTTCAAAACCTTTCACTGAAATAAATGTTTACACAGAGAGTAAAGTACCGAAAAAAGGTACCGGCACCGAAATTCAGGTACCGATACCGGTACCGTACCGGTTAAAATGTGAACGGTAGCCAACCCTAGTGACAGTAAAGACATTTATAATGTTACAGAAGATTTCTGTTTCAAATAAACACTGTTCTTTTGAGCTTTCTATTCATCTGTGAATCCTGAAAAATAAAATGCATCACAGTTTCCACAAAAATATTACTGTTTTCAACATTGATAATAAATCAGCATATTATAATGATTTCTGAAGATCATGTGACACTGAAGACTGCAGTAATGATGCTGAAAATACAGCTTTGATCACAGAAACAAATTACAGTTTAACAGATATTCACATAGAAAACAGCTGTTTTAAATTATAATAATATTTCACAATTTTACAGTATTTTTGATCAAATAAAGCAGCCTTGCTGAGCAGAAGAGACTTCTTTCAAAAACATTGAACATATCTGAATTATTCCAATCTCCTGACTGGTAGTGTATGACAGTCAGTACACAAATGTCTGGTGCTTGCATGTAAATTCCAAACCTCACTGGCCTTGTCCAATGACTTTGCACATATGATGCTTCACACAGCACTGCGCATGAAATAAAGCGCCATGTCTTGGCAGTTTGAGTGCATTTCAAGTGCTCACACAATGCATGACTGTACAGGAACAGAATTTATTGGTGTGTGTCTGATTACCTGCACTCAGTTACGTTTGGTAATCACACACTTCATTTATTTGCTGCTCCTGGTTTAGCAAGTGAAAACTGACAATTAAAAGAGATGATAGTAATTCACAGTACTATGGCTGAATTCACTAACCAGTTGCACCACTTTAATTGCAGCATTTCTGCGCAAAACTTATATGCAGTGAATCAGACAGTGTGTGCAAATAAATAATAATAAATAAACACTAGCACTGTTCATATATCATTTATCATTTACTTTACAGAAAAGGAACTACAACCAGAGGATCCAGGTAATTACTGTATTCAAATTTTAGCATGCCCGTAAACATGCAATATTTTTCTCTGAAGCTGCTTTGAAACAATGTCATATATACATAAAATGTGCAAATTCAACTCAATTATAAATGAATGAAGTTTCCATATTCAGTGTAGAATCAATACATTTCAGAGTTTGCTTTATGTTATTTGCATGTTAATTATATGTTTGCTTACAGTAAAGACTGAATTGGGAGATGCAGACCAGCACAGCTCAGGTCAAGGCAGAGGTCAAGCACTTTTGTTTTATATCATTTGGTCATATTTACATGATGTTTTGCAGTGTAAGCTTAACATCTATAATCTTATTATGCATTATTATGAGGTTTGGCCTGAATTATAAGCATTTAAAAAAAAAAAATAAAAATACTTGCTTAAACTCAAAATTAAAACCTTAAACCCCTATATTGTGAGTATATTAAATAGCATAAATAGGATAAGTATATTTACAATAATCACGGTTTGAATAAAAGGTGTAATCAGGGCTGGGCTTCTAGGCGTCAGAGATACTGATGCATAAAGCATTTCCTGAAAACAAACAAAAACAAATAATAATAAAATATCGTAAGCAAAGCATTATATTCAGTATATTGGCTAAATATGTGCAGAAAAAAGCATCTAAAACAAACAAGGAAGTAATTGTATATTTTTCATATTACACAGCAATGGTTATTGCCAATATCTGTGTTTCATCTTGTTATGTTCTCTCTCATTACAGCTCGCAGCGCTGGAGCAGTTTCTGAGCCAAACGGTATCATATTCTCCAACTAGATCATATAAACAAACACTTCTTAAATGTTAAATGTTTTGTGAGAAAGTCAAAGTGCTTGAGTGTTCTGGTTGGAATCTTGTTCTTAGGGGTTCGGTGTGGTTACTAGGGTGTTGCTATGAGTCAGAGGGTTCTGGGTGGATTCTTGTTGTTAGGGGTTCAAGGTGGTTATTAGGGTGTTGCTATGAGTCAGAGGATTCTTGGTGGATTCTTGTTGTTAGGGGTTCGGTGTGGTTACTAGGGTGTTGCTAGGAGTCATTAGAGGGTTCTGGGTGGATTCTTGTTGTTAGGGGTTCGGTGTGGTTACTAGGGTGTTGCTAGGAGTCATTAGAGGGTTCTGGGTGGATTCTTGTTGTTAGGGGTTCGGTGTGGTTACTAGGGTGTTGCTAGGAGTCATTAGAGGGTTCTGGGTGGATTCTTGTTGTTAGGGGTTCGGTGTGGTTACTAGGGTGTTGCTAGGAGTCATTAGAGGGTTCTGGGTGGATTCTTGTTGTTAGGGGTTCGGTGTGGTTACTAGGGTGTTGCTAGGAGTCATTAGAGGGTTCTGGGTGGATTCTTGTTGTTAGAGGTTCTTTGTGGTTACTAGTGTGTTGCTAGCGGTCATTAGAGGGTTCTGGGTGGATTCTTGTTGTTAGGGGTTCGGGGTGGTTACTAGGGTGTTGCTAGCGGTCATTAGAGGGTTCTGGGTTGTTGCTAGGTAGTTCTTAGGGGGGTTCGGGGTGCTTACTAGGGTGTTGCTAGGAGTCATTAGAGCAGGGGTCACCAAACTCGGTCCTTTAGGGCCGGTGTCCTGCAGAGTTTAGCTACAACTTGACTCAACACACCTGCCTGGAAGTTTCAAGTATACCTAGTAAGACATTGATTAGCTGGTTCAGGTGTGTTTGATTACGGTTGGAGCTAATCTTTGCAGGACTCCGGCCCTCCAGGACCGAGTTTGGTGACCCCTGCATCAGAGGGTTCTGGGTGGTTGCTAGGTAGTTCTTAGGGGGTTTGGGGTGGTTACTAGGGTGTTGCTAGGAGTCATTAGAGGGTTCTGGGTGGATTCTTGTTGTTAGGGGTTCAGTGTGGTTACTAGGGTGTTGGTGTTGGTGTGGTGTAGGTGTGGCTCGGGTCCCTCCTTCAAAGCAAGCCTGTGAGATTGTTTTTTAACCCATTTTATTGTCCAGCAGGTGAAAATATTTAGGGTCACTTATAAGTATTAATGCTTAGTGTTTTGAACAAACTCCTAACACTGAGCACTAGTAACAGTGATGCTTGACTTAAAAAACATCAGTAATAACACGATCATCATTTCCAGCATGAGTTGATCATCTGTAATACCTGCCGTCCCACCCAGTCTAACAGACACAAAAGATCTGCTCATTCCTTATTCTGCTTCATGTGTTCAGAACAAATAGTGATCAGCTGTTAAACACGTCACGTTTGCTTTCAACGCACGCAGGAACCAGTGATGTAAAACTGGCACCATGTCATTTTATGGACTGACGTAATAAAACACAAACATTCTGACATGATCATCTAACATGTTTCATGGAAGAAAGAAATTAATATGGTTTGGAGTGACATGTTGAAATAAAAAAAAAATCATAATGATGACAAAAAGCTGAAATTATGACTTAAAAAAAAAAAAACGAAATTACCAGATAAACGAAAAAAAAAAAAATTACTAGATAAAATGTCAAAAAGTTATAATTATGGGAAAAAAGTTGACATTTTGGAATTATGGCATAAAATATCATAATTATTAAGTAGTCTAAATCATGAATTGAATTGATGTTATAAAAAAAAACTTTTTTTGTCGAAAAGTCAAAATTATGACAAAATTAAAATTATGAGATGAAAAAAAGCCTAAATTAGGAGATAAAAGTCAAAGTTATAACAAAATACCAATTATGAGATTAAAAAGTCAATTACAAGATTAAAAAAAATGTAATTATGGCAAATCGAAATTATGGCCTAAAAAGTCAAAATTATGACAAAAACATCATTATGAGAAAAAAGTTGAAATAATGAGTCAAAATTAACAAAGTCAGAATCATGAAATAAATAGTCTAAATGATGAATATTATACAGGTTTGCGACGTCAAAATAAACGTTTAAAATATGAGGTAAAAAAAAATCTAAATTGAAATAAAACAAATTATGACAAAATGTCATTTATGAGATAAAAAATATGACATTTAAAAAGTTTTCAGAAAAAGTAGAAATTTCAAATGACATAAAATGCCATAATTATGAAATATAAAGTCTTACTTATGAAACTATGCTTTTAGAGATTTACATTATAAAACAAACATTCTGACTAATATCAGCTAACATGTTTCATGGAAGAAAGGACATAAGAGTAATTTAGATTAGATTAAACTTTATTGTCATTGCGCTAAATCTAATCTAATCTAATCTAATCTAAATTACCCTTATCATTTCCTTTTTTCCATAAAGCATGTTAGATAGTCAGAATATATTGCGAGTAGTGTTGGCTCTTTGACAGAAAGCTTTTGTTCCTCTTTTGTAAGTCACTTTAAATCTGGAGTAAATGGAGTGACGTGAGTGAGTAAATGATGACAGGATAATCACGGGTCAGTTTTCCTTAATATTATCAGTGAATGTCAGAAGCCACGTCTCCTCTCATGCTTCTTATGTGTCACTAAGTAAATAAACTCCTGTTGAGCGTCTTTTGTTCTGTGGGCAGCACTTTCGCTCTCTTTCATCTGCTGCAGGATCTGTAAGTCAGGTTCAGTCTTGCCTGTCGCCTCCTTGAGGGCTTTTCCCTCACAAACATTCCTGTCACTGCATGTGTCGAGTCTCGCTCCGCTCCGTCGAATCCTACGCTGGCGTCCGGTGGGACCGACTGTGACGGGCGTACTGATACTTCTCTGCAGCAGAGCATTGTGGGTAGACTATTGATAAGTGCCACTGCTGCATTAGTGCTTGTGATAAATACTGAAGCAGAAACCAAACTGTAGCAATGTGAAGTGTCTGCTTCGTAATATTCGCAGGATCCCCTAAACCTGGAAATATCAGAAACTGACAGGAAACTTCTATAGTGAAAACACATTCTCTAGTTTCCAGTCTACAGCTCTTTCGAAATTGACTTCAAAAGTCATAATTATGAGAAAAAGTCACAAGTATGACATACAAAGTCATTATGAGATAAAATGGTGAAATTATGAGATAAAAAAACATTCTGACTAAAATAATCTAACGTTTCATGGAAGAAATAAAATAATACAGGTTGAGAGACATGCCAAAATAAAAAGTCAAAATTTTGATGTTAAAATTGAGACTTAAAAAAAAATTTAATTATTAAAAGTCATAATTATGAGAAAAAGTCACAATTATGACATTAAGACATTATGAGATAAAATGGCAAAATTATGAGATAAAAATATTCTGACTAAAAATAATATTGATGAAAAAGAAAATAATAAAGGAAAAACATAACAACTTACAAAAAAAAACATAAAAACTTAAAATTATGAGATAAAAAAAACAATTATGACAAAAAGTCATAATTACGAGAAAGAGTTTAAATAATGACAATGTCATAATGAAATAAAATTAAAAAATAAAAGTCAAAATTATGAATTATCCTTTTGGGGATTTAGTCAAGTCAAGTCAAGTCAAGTCTGCTTTATTGTCAATTCTTCCACATGTACAGCACATACACACAGAGAATTTGAAATTGCGTTACTCTCAGACCCTTGGTGCATACAGATAACACTAACAGTAGAACATAAATACAGATAGATACAGATGAAATATAAAATACAACTATACAAATATACAAATAAGGTACAATGTAAAAAAATATAAATATATATATATATAAAGCAGCACAAGGCACATGGCAGATAGAGTGCAAACCAGTGAAGTAAACAACAGTGCAGATATAATGATTTGTAGTGCAAAAGAGCTTATTCAGACTGATTAAAGTGACAGTGTGTGTGTGTATTTGGGAGGGGGGAGTGGGAGAGTCCATCAGAGGGTCAGAGTTCAGTGGTGCGTGGGGCAAAAGAGGGGAGGGGGGGCAAGGTCGGGAGGGAGTTCAGCTTCCTGACAGCCTGATGGATGAAGCTGTCCTTCAGTCTGCTGGTCCTGGCCTGGAGAC